TTCTTTCATTGTTCCGCACTATGGCCACTCCAAATTACTTCAATGACCTCTTCCTTGCATTTACCCCAAATTTTCTACATTTAAGCCTTATCTTTGCTTTCACAAGTTATTCAATGATGATCCATATGGTAGCGCATTCTTGTCTTTCACTGTGTTACTAATGTGCTGACCCCAAAACTAATGCAGTATATCATGCAGAATTACTGGTCTCAGAGCACTTGCATTCACTACTATGGAATATTTGCTTCTGTTCCCCAAAACTGCAATGGCTTTTTTTATCTCACTGCATCCCAATTACTTCTTTAACCCAAGCTTAAAATGTATTTTCCCAAATCCTCTTTCCTTGCCTCTATTTTATGGTCAGTTCATGTGCACCTAAGTTTTGATTATTGCTGTTGTATTTCCTTGTATTTTCTCCTTATTGTTTGAAAGTCTTCCCACTTCAACAATGTATTTCGGTAATGGACTGTCTTCATGACCCTCTTTCCCCCTTGCCAGGACTGTAAATACTTCTAAAACCTCTACATCGCTATAAAGACAAGTGCATCACTATCCATTGTTACTCAGACAGTTTTGAAATCACATATCTTTCTTCCTACTTAAGCAAATCTGAATGTATTTTTAAAGCAAGATTTCATGAGAAAGCACAAGCAGAAAGGATTTTATCACAGGTGTGTATGTATTTCAATCCTTTCAGCCACTCATTTTCAACTCTATTCCAGAACATTGCTCTATAGCTTTATAGTAAGGACAGTCAGCTGAGAAGTGAGAACACGAAGGGCCAAAGAGGGCCTCACACATCTGGCCTCTTATAGGATTTGGGCAGAAAATCAGAGTTTATACAACCTCAGCAGTGATTATGAGATATCATCAGCTGCTGGGAACAGGGGCAGAAGCAGAACTCTAAGCAATTAGGTAGCTTTCAAATAAACATCAAGGCATAGATGTTCCTAGAATGAAGTGGACATAAAAACATGCCTCAAATATGCCTGTGGTGTTTACTGGACCTATTCCAGTAAGAAGCGCTGTCAAACATGGATTCTACTTCCTACGACATTTATATCAGCACTAATACTGTTCATGGCTTTTAGCAGTGTTATTTGTTGTGTAGTGTTGCAACAGGCACCAGAACGCATCCCTTATATAAGAAAAATCCTTTAAATTTACACAGAAGTTACACATCACAAGACAAAAAACCTCACTATACTGCATTTATTTACCTCTTACATTCCAGTTATCTAATACATTTTCTTAAATAAAATCTGGTATTGGCACATACTTTTTTTGTCACTTTCATTGATATCCTGATATGTATCAGCCAGCTTGTTATTTTTATGTATAGAGTAACCTTCCAACTTAGCAAAACCCCCCTCTGTTAAAGCCCTGATGCTCTACTGTATCAGTCTTCATTAGTATTCAATAAGGAGGGTGAGCAAACTACCTGCTTTTTCCCCAAATATTTTTTCTGCACTGATACATTTGTAAATGCCTTTGTATTTCCCCATTTTCTTTGTTAGCACGAAGTAATTGATCTAATCCATTCTCTAAACCTCAGTGACTGACAGTGTCCTTGGGTGTCATTGTATCTTTTTTGACATTTTTCCTTAACTTCAGATCTCCAAATCTACATCTGGAGCTCGTTTTCCACAGCAGATGTCAGTCATCCTTCAGCTGTAGTCTTTCTGGCTTGTGCAGCCATCTTGCAGAAGGATGAAATCTCGTTTCCTATGAGACTGGAATCCTTGTCCTACTCCAACTAAATTCATTCTTTACAGTGATTAGTTTAAGTAGCACTTGTGCACAAGCTCCAATTTCTCCATCAGTAAGAAATACTATAATCAGAGCAGGTTTTTTTCTACAGGACAATAACAGCCATGGCTTATTAAGAGCACTTTTGATGTGGCCTTGCTGCCTCTATGGAAGAAAAGAGGAAAGGCAAACTCCTTACGTCTTTCCTGAATGAAGCATAAATATGCTCTGCGCTCTCGTCTTTTTACTTAAGAAAACCCTTGGATCCTTGCATAGTGCCTACAAGGCATCTTCTGTATTGTGACACTGAACACTGAATATCTGTTATATTGTCTACAAAAGTGTTGGATTAATGGTTTCACTTTGAAAGCGTGAGTTAACTTGGGGTGCTCTCATAAACATGCTACAAAGTACGCAGCATCCTAGCTCCAGAGCCCCAATGCATAGCTCCATGCATCCCCTCTGTGCAAAAGAGGGCCCTAAGAACCCTGACCTCCCCAGATATTTTTATATTCCGAATATGGAACCATCCTAGGTTCTGGTATCTGCTCCTGGGACTGTCTGTATGTTTATAAAGCTTCTGCCTGAGCAGAAATAGTCAATGACATATAAACAAAACACCGAAACTGTATGTTTATAAAGCTTCTACCTGAGCAGAAATAGTCAATGACATATAAACAAAACACCGAAACATCTGTGTTGGTATTGCTTCGCTGGTATTTGCAAACACTTCATTTGATGCCATTTCATTAACCAGCAGTTAAAGTTCAGTTAGCACTTACTAAAATACTAAATTTCAGCACATGTTGATGCCCAGTAATTCCTTTTAAAGTGTTTCACAGCTGAGGACTTGCCACTTTTCTGAAAACTGTAATCTTCTTGGCCAGCTCCTTGGCCATACTTATTCATGGATCTGACAGCATATGAATTATGTTCACTACCCTTACTTTCATCTGCGTAAGTCAAAGTGTACAGTTTTGGTCCAACACCTTGCAAAGCTCCTGTTTTGACAGTATTTACTGTGATAATTTACAATTCTGTCAATTCTGCTCTTTCAATTTAGCTACTGTGCCATCTATTCTGGTAGTGCTTTAAAGTGTTTTCTCCTCTTTCCCAGATGAAAAATTGTAGTATAAACCTTGGCTACTGCTAGCAGCTGCATGGAGAAAGCTGAATATTGTACTGGCCAAACATCTAGTTGCAATATTTACACTCTTATTTATATCTTAGGTTACTTCTGTTCTGTTTATATGCAATAAAAAAGTCAACAAACTTTAAAGTTGTTTAGTAAAAATACATAGATAGTATACAGGCAGTAGAGCGAAGTCTACACTAATCTCCATTTCTCAGAGTTGTTCCACAAATAGAACAAAATACTAAGTACTGTGAATTTTACACTCACAATTAAAATGTTGATGCTATTTCAAAATCCTTCTTCTTGGATCTTTCAAATATTTCTGAGCTGGATGAATGCTTATACACACACCAAACATAAAGCTGCCACTACAGCTTGCAAACACAAAAATGCATTTGCGTAATTAAAGAATCAAATCTCTACTTGCAGTCTTCTCCTTTTCAAAAGCTTTGTATATATAAAGTAGTTCTGCCTCTCACAACTGCCGAAATCAACCATAATTTCTGACCAACAAGCCTGACACAGTGGCCAATGCAGACGGAAAACGAAAAGCTCTGCTGATAGCTCTGCCACTGAGTAAGCTGTCCACTCCTTCTTCTGTAATGTGGGAGAAAGAAAAAGTCCTTATTTGTAGTATGTTGCGACATCTGCTCACATCTAGATACGGTCATAGTTACACATCATGCTCAACAATGGGTAAACTAATCAAAATGAACATTTTCTGTTTATTTGCAATTATAAGACTGGGCATCCATTGTTCTGTTAAGATATAAAGCCTTCAAAAGTAGAAATAAGAGACAACCATATTGCATCCAATTTTCGGGAAAAGATATATTGTTAAGCAGGTGTGATCAGACCTACTACATGTCTTTATTTTACCTCAAGGTAAAATTTTACCTCAAGGAGTAGGCAAATGGGTTGAAATTATTAAAAAACAAAATAAAAAGACTGACAGAACAACAAAAGCAGTACAAAATTTTAAACCCCATATACCTCAGATTAATAAGCATTCAGTATAGAAACCCCATATCTTTTAAAAGGATACCATTTAACTGGACTCTCTAGAAGGTTCTGAGCAAATCTTTCACACAGAACTGTTTAGGAATCTGATGGGGCATGGAGTGAGAGTTAAAAGTAATACACAAGAAGCAAATCATAAGAATGGTCAGTTTTCAACTGGACAAATATTAACAGTACAGTACCCTACAGATGTGCACCGAAATGGTGTTATTTTACATATTCTTTTACCTGGATAAAAGAGACACCTAGTCCACTGGCAGCATCCCTGGAAAACAAAAATTATTAAGGCTATATTTATGGCTAACAAAAACTGTGAGGAATACCAGAGGCAGAACAAAGACAGATGAAGGTTGATGATTAACTCAAAATAATGTACTGCTCAGGTATTCCAAAGTTTTCTAGGACTCGCAGTCACAGAGGCCTTTATTTATGAGGCATTATTATGATATTATGAGGCATTTATTTAGTATGTTCTGGTAAACAAATCCGAAGTATTCCAACCATACATAATACTACAGGAATATGCATACATGAAGCATCATACAATAGCTGGATCAGTACTCAAGAAATTATAACAGATAGTTACAGAACAAGTTAATGTTGAGGCTATACCTATGTAGCCTTAAAAGGACTTAACTATATCCATAATATAGGGGTCATTTTATGCGGCTTTTGATTTTTGCTCCAATTTATTTAATATATACCCACTGATAGGATATGGAATAAGATGTGCTTATGTGGCATAGTAGCCGGTAGTGTACACTCCCACAATGGGGAAACACATTGAATTGTAATATCTAATTGCCTATTGTGGTCCTGTAGCTTACTAGAGCTTTTTTTGTATTGTGATTTTTCCTCCCTGTAGAGGTGGTCTGCACTGCAGAAGGGCATGAAAACACATTTTTAAAGCAGTGTCAACTGTATTATAGAAAAAAAATAAACCCAGAAACAATTCATTTATAAAACCCCTCATTTGCATAGCAATCCAAATTACTACAGTAACTTACTTAGGCTGTATTATATTCAGTCTCGCTGAATTGCTCAGATTAACACCTGGAGGATGAATCTTTTATGAAAAAACAAAGCTAACACCATGTAAGTTATTACAAAACCCCAACATTTTAACCTTGAAGACTTTTCAAACATTACTGCAAAATGGTTGTGGAAAAAACATGTTACTTCTTCAGAAGAAATTAAGTATATCCAGACAAATTGGTATCTTTTCCAATTGCAAAGTTTGATTCTCCGTGTTCAGTTCCGCATTGCCAACATGGCATTTATGTCCCAAATAAGATTCCGTAACTGATCCATGATCTGTTTCAGCTGCTGATTCTTCTGTTTCAGTTTCTGTGGGAAGAGTTTATGGTTAGTTTTTCTGTGATCAGTTCAAACAGCACATTCGTAAATTCAACCAAAATTATAGTGTTATGAAATGCTATATGGATTTTTTCTCAGTTGTCAGCAAGCAGTGTTAATGGGATAGTACATCCTCTTTAAAGCACACTCTAAAAATGCAAGAAAGCCTCAAAAGTTAAGGGCCATTCTTAAGAGGGGAAATGCTGTTTCACTTCACAACACTTCTTTTAATCAAAACACTTGCCCCCTTCAAAAACTGGAAGCTTGAGGGAATTGGTCCTTTCTTTCCAAAGTCCAAAAACTAGTACTACAAGTAGTAAGAAAAAAATCACATCACTTATTGAAATCACATCATTTATGTGAATATATTTTGTATAATTCAGGTGCACAGAAAAGTGGGGGACTAATGGTAGAAGCTTCAACTAAGCACAAGGTACAGGAGAAGCCAAGCAAGCTTTTCCAGCCCTTCTGCCTATGTAGGTAATGGATCCTGTCTTGGAAACAGGTATTCCCAAGCAGTCTGAATTGTTCAGAATTATATATTGGTTTTGCAAACTACAGAAGCATTTGAAGGAACAGAAGAACAGCAAACTCACTTCTATTTGGGTGCATAACCAGAACTTGGAAATTATGTCTTTACAGAAGAAAGATCAGTGCATTAAGACATCACACAATCTCCCTAACCTTTCATGTTTCACAATAATACACATATTGTCTGATTTATTCATTTTCCTGCTCAAATCAAAGCTGTCAAGAACTAAGTCACTGTGTATTCTTAAACAAAAACCTTTCCTTCATTTCATTCCAGTTTGACAAGATGTCAGATTTCTCACATTAGAGATCAAACTACTTATTCATTAGGGAAGTCCAAAGTTCCAAGGAAAGTGAAAGCACAGGAAACATTTGTTACCATCAAAAGAGGACAAACTATTTCAAATGTTTCAGGTTTGTCATAACTTTGTAATCTGTCCTACATAAATGGCAATACACTAAAAGAGTGACTCAGATCAGTAATACAACCCAAGTAACTGGAACAGTGATTAAGGAAGCAACAAAAGAATCAATATCCTGAAAATCAGTCTCCTGAATTTTGATGTGGACAACACACTGATACATTTCAGCTGTCCATCTGGTGAGCTGGGAAAGAAGTCCAGAGACAAAAAGAAAGTCTGTTCACTTCAGACCTGTAAGAATGGCCTGAAGTAACATGTCATTAGACTTAGATTACACAGTGAACATGGGACTTTGAGTAAGGGAAACATTCCTGAACCCAAACTTCAGTGGATACATTTTCTGGAAGCAGAGACAACACTCAATTCCAGACTCCTGAGAAGGATGTAAAAACAGACGTAGGACAATTCATGTGCACTAACTTTGAATTTCTAAACAAGCATTTGACGGACTAAAAAATATTTTAAAGAGAACTATGTGCCTTTATCTTATACTTCTTTCTTTTCCGTTTGCTAGACTTCACAATATACAGCAGAGATCCAGCTCCTAAAGACAAGAGAGAAAACTGAGAAGCATGTAGTTACCACAGGATCCAAATGACAGAATTGCAAGTGTCTCCCTACAAAAGCTCATAATGTAAGATTCTGATGCCTGAGAAAGCACAAGAAGGATGAGATAAACAAGCATGTTCATACTTTTGGTATTTTAAAACATATCTCTGTTTGCCATCCTCAACAACGATTCCTAGAGAAATCAATGAATGTTACACAAAACTACTAGTTTAACACAAAATGCCATTCACTGATACTGAGGGCATGCAAGTCCAGTTTTTCAAAGCCTTCATTAATAGAAATGAAGGCTGATGGTCACTGATGGTTATTCAGGTCACAGATAGAAAGAAGAACCATTAACCTCTGATATGCAGATTGTGTTCTCTCTCATCCATGTCTAATTGTACTGTTAAATACTGTTATGTAGGTATGCTCACGTGAACTTCATGTAAGTTACCCAAAAGACTCATTCTGTTAGACTGTTTTCATTTCTTGGGCAAGTGCTATGAAACTGTAAATTGCCTGATCTTTACTTGATGATAGATAAGGGAACCTTCAAACTGGCTTTCATTTGTTTTCAAAGCACCTGTAAAGACAAGAAGTATATGATGGTTACTTCATCTGAAGATAATTTTAGATCCATGTCTTCAGTGAAGAACTATTTTCTTAGCTCTTCTACAGAAAAAAACCCATCTAAGATGAAGCACCATTTCTGGATTGCTAGGCTGAAAAAAGAATAAAGAGAGGGGAAAAGCCACCACTTCAGAGCGCATGGTCTCCTGTTTGAAATGCATGGAGTGATCTTTGTTACCCATCTTTGACATGCAGTGGTCCACATCACAAAGTACTACATGATTACTATGTTCTGCACCACTGGCAGTGCTAGCTTCTGCTTTTAAGACTTTGCTGGACCCATAAGAGCTTCTCAGCTCAGGTCTAACCTTGGAAAGATAAATGAAATGGCCTTCTTGGAAAACAGGCGAGTTGTGTAAGCAGCTTCTGCAGTAATGACAAATTTCATGTGAACAGATTGCTTGCAAGTTGTCTCCCACTCTTTCCTCCTTCTGCTGAAAAGACTTAGCTGAACTCTGGACTGCTTCTCAGGATTAACAGTTGTATCAAACAAGAAAAGGTACTTCATCCTACATACATGCTACAGCTTCTGACTTTATCTCTTTTAAGATAGTGTCGTGGTTTAGACCCAGCTGGTAGCTCAGCACCACGTAGCTGTTTGCTCACCCACCACCTTTTCCCCCTTCCCAGGCAGGATGGGGAGGAGAACTGAAAGAATGTAAATTCCACAGGTTGAGATAGGAACAGTTTAATAACGGAAGTAAAATATAGTTATTTTGTGATGATATAGAGAATACCAACAATAAATGATAATAATAAGAAACAACAAAAGAAGAGAAATGAGAATTCAGAAAGCACAAGTGATGCACAACACAGTTGCTCACTACCCACTGACCAATACACAACCCAAACCAAGCAGCAGTCGATCCCCTCTGGGATCTGTTAGGGTGGTGAGGCACTGGAATGGGTTGCCCAGGGAAGCTGTGTATGCTCCATGCTAGCAGTGTTCAAGGCCAGGTTGGACAGAGCCTTGAGTGACATGGTTTAGCGTGAGGTGTCCCTGCCCATGGCAGGCGGGTTGGAACTAGATGATCTTAAGGTCCTTTCCAACCCTAACTATTCTATGATTCTATTTATCAGGGCTGTCTAGATCAATCTACAACTTTCTATCAGGGATGTATCAGAACTTTCCTTTGTACACTGTTGCCATCTCTCTTCTCATCTTAAGCTCATCCATCATTTTAAAACCTAAACATCACTATGAGTCACTATTCTGCACTCAATCCATTTGTTAAAAGTCTCTTCTTCGGGCAATGATAATAGCATAAACACTATGCTATATTCCAATTGATACATGTAAAAACATCAAAAGTACTTGTCTATGTTGTACAGGCACTTCTGCTGCTTAAGAAAATGAAAAATAAATAGTTTTTACCTGCTCTATTCCAGACCTGCACACGCCACAAGTATATCTATGCATAGTAAAGCATTAAATATTAATAATAGTAGTGCTTTTACCTGCAGAATTAAACCAATTATGTTTATTTTGTTGATTCTGACTCTACTACAGAGAATTTGCATCATGTTTGTTTTCATGAGCACGTTACTCCTTCTGACCATTAAAATGCTGTAGAAAGTGATTGCTGAAAGCCTTACACAAAGAGCAGCCTCTGCTTTTCCATGTAAGTCAAACCCTCTACAGAAACACAATGTTTGTGATGAGTGAGAAAAATAAAGCTTGCCCTGGCAATTCACACTTTTTTTTTGAGTCCTTCATAATGAAATCTCTGAAGTAAGGAGGTGGATCAACCGCTTCCCCTCCAGCCTTCAGTCTTACAGTCAAAAGACTTGCAATGTTATACGCAAACAGCAGGAAAAAGAAAGATAGAAAGAATGCCTCAGCACTTTGCAGAAACTCTTTTAAAGCTGTCAGGTGATGCTTGAACTTATATGGCTACTTAACTGATAGCAAGGCCCACTTGCTATCATAATAAATTTACATATTCATGTATTTATAATATTTTTTAAAATGGTTAAAAAGCATTCATCACTAATACACTACCTACTGTGCAATTAAACATTAACTCACTAATTGTTCAATAACTACAGCTTTTCCTGATGTCATTCACAGGCATAACTATTCTACCTGCTACCCTCACTCGAAATGAAAGACTGGATTTTCTGCCTCCCGCTGCATCTGATAGCTGAAAGGAAACTGCTCCTTCTGCACGCATCACTCTTCCTGAAATAAGCAGAGGCACCAGTGACAGCCTCTGCTTCACTGCACGCTCAATACTTTTCACATATTGAACCAGACAGCAATTGCATGTATCCCCCGCTCTGTTGTTCCAAGAGGAGTGTGTTCATTAAAATGGATAGATGTTTGCTTCATACCAATTATTTATCATCCAACGATGAAGTCTGAGGTGTTATTTACTGAGTACCCTCTAAGCTATGTAGCTTGTAATGGAATTATCCATTCCCCAAGGTGCTCCTCCACCACACTCCTTGGTGTTACATCCCCATTCTTAACATGAAAATCACACAGTTGTATGATTCTCAGTTACAGATGGCAAACTAAGTCACAGGAACACTATGGATAAAACTGGAGTGCCTATCAACTTTGTCCAGAGGCATCTAAGATCCAAGTGCATCACTAAACTTGGTATTTTAACAGCTTCCCACATATTCAAAGGACAGCTATCACTAATCATAGAGAGCAGAATGAACAACTACAACAGACATTTTGTGGCAGAGCTAAAGATAAAAATCCAGTTTTCAAGAGCAGCCTTCAATTACTTACTACTCACATTAAATCCTTCCTTTTCATTCCCAAATTCCCTGCTTATTTAATACACTCAAGCAAGTTAAACGACACATAAACCAGGACTCTTATAAGATTATAAATCTTATTTA